AGTTCGCCAGCATCACAATACCATTCTCGTACTGTCTGTAACCAATTACTGTTTGCATATATGCCTTTGCGGCTCGATACGAATTATTTCATTCACCTGTTTACGATTAATGTACCCCAATCAGGCGCGTACACAGGGGGGGGGGGGGGGTTAACCCCCCCCCCCTTTGGATTTTTTTTTTTTTTTAATTATTAAAAAAAAAAAAATTCAATGGCTGACCTAAAAAGGTGACCTTACCCCCCTCCCCCCAACGGAGCCAAATGTCAAATTTTCAAATTTCGAGACCAAAAAAAAAAAAGGAAAGTGTCCTCTTACCGCCCCACCCCCCCCCCCCCCCCCCCGCTTATTCAGCGGCTGGCTGAGTCGTTGCGAAATTTTCGGCCCGATTTATAAATGTTAAACCCCCCCCCCCCTTTAAAAAAATCCTGCGTACGCGCCTGACCCCAATAGTCATAATTCAAATACATCACTTAATTGTTGCTCGGTATATAAGGACAAACAGGCTTTCCTTACCTAAAAACATAATGATATTGCTATTAAAAATTCTGACTGCAGGCATTGCAATACAGTTATTCATTAATACGTTTCGAGGTAATTAGAAATTTGGTTACATTACGAAAATGGTCTATTACTACTAGCTTGAATGTGTTGCCCTCTCCTTTGAAGTCGAGTCCTGTCTGTCCCGTATTTCAGATTCAAAATTTGGTCATCCTGCATGTCTAGACAATTGGGTTAAAAAACTAGTTATAGCATAATTCAACCTCCCCTATATAGTTTTGAGCCTCCGTAGTACAATGTTTGCATTGACATTGAAATAATAGAGTTTCTATGTACAGAAAAAAAAATATCAAAGGGCATTTCTATGTACAGGAAAATATCAATATCAAATCAAATGGAATTATAACAATGTGACCTCCCTTCCTCCTCGAGAAGTTTCGAGAAGTCCGGACGAGAAACAAGGAATTAATTTTACTTGGCCTATAAGGAGATTTCCTTCGTTTTGTTTTATCCCACCCTTAATATTGTTCTCTCTTTCTTTCTTATTTATCTTCGCCATTTTTTCTTCTTTCTCCCAGCAATTTCTTACTTTGCAATTCTACCTTCTATCGTGGTATCAATTGTTTCCCTCCCCACCGTGACAAGAAAGCTCTAATACGACAGAATAATACGAATGAAATTTGTTTACAAAATAGTGTGTATTTAAAGGTACTATGTCCCTTTGCAGCCAACCTCAAATTCTGTAGAACTTTGCAGGAATTATGAATATGTCATGTATGTCCTATCTGTGAAATTTAAACGTTAGCAGTGTCCTCATATTCAAATTATGCAAGGAAACCCGTTTACTTGCTAGACTTCACTGTTAGACACTATTGAGTGACTGACTGGCTTTTTCTTCTTTGGTTATAACATACATGAAAAGAGTTGTAAAGGGTACATGAGCATTTGTCTACATCAATATCCCACTTCTTGTGATGGCCAAGATTAAACTGATTGAATCTTTGCGCAGCATAAAACGTATGACCATTCGGTACAATTGTCTGAAAATCAAGACTATTACTTTTGGGCTCTATAGCCCTAAAGTCTATTTGACAACTTATAGTCGTTATTTTCCCACTTGTAGACATTTTCAAGCCCCACCTTTTTTAAGGAAGTTCTAAATTAGTATTATCTTTCAAATGCAGTTTGAATTTAACTTTAAAAAAAAAAATTGGCCTGCAAATGGGACATAGTACCTTTAAATCACAACGAAAGAATAGTGAAGAAGAAGGAAACACACATACACTTAGGAGAAAGGAAGGGGAGATGAAACAGAGAACAGAACGAAAGAAAATGAACTTGGAGCCACATAATCATTATCACATTAAAATTTTCATTTTAAATACAAATCTACCGATTTTGGAAATGCTTGCCTTGCATGCATACATTTGTGTTTAAATACACGTGATACAAAGACAGTGTTTTATATTAAGAGCAGATAAAAGGCCTAAATCTAACAGATGAGGTAATCATTCAATTTATCATTATGGTTTTCAGAATTGGATATAATTATCTTCAGTATCGTATATTACATCAGTCATCTTGTGGAGGCACGATGGCTCATTGGTAGAGCAGTGGATCTGGGGATCTGGTAACGGGAGGGTCCGGGTTCGAAACCAAGTTGATGCACTAGTGCCCTTTGGTATAGCATTAATCCTCAAGTCCTTCGGGGAGGATTTAAAGCCGTCGGTCCCCTAGTTGCTAACTTACATACACGTGCTTTCTTAGTAAAAAAAAATAAACAAACTTTTATGCAAGGTTACGTGGTAGTCATTAATAGCGACTTTCAGATTTGCGTGGACTGATACGTGCATTCAAGGCAGTAAATTAAAAGGACGTCGATCGTAGCAATCCACGTTGTTGTTCGGCAAATCTAAAAGTCCCTAATGATGATGCATGCACGGACCTGCTTGTGCTTCAGACTTTCGCAAACAATAATCAATCGTGTAAAGACACATTTCGAAAATGCATGTGAAGCGTTTGTATGTAAGCTCATAAAGTTATATTTTGTGCTTACCTCTTGTCATTATAACGTGTTTCTAATAATGTATGATTGATAATGTTCGTTTCAGGACTTCATTGATCAATGACCTTCCTCTCCTCCCTTTCTTTCTATCTCTTTTCTCTCCTCCCTTTCTCTCTCCTCCATTCCTCTCACTTTCTCTCCTCTCTTTCTTTCCTCCCTCTATATCTCTCCCTCTCCTATCTTTCTCTCTTCCCTTTCTCTCTCTCCTCCCTCTCTATATCTCTCCTCCCCTCTCCATCTCTCCTCCCTCAGTCTCTCTCTCTCTCTCTCTCTCGATCTCTCCTCCATTCCTCTCACTCTCTCTCCTCTCTTTCTCTCCTCCTTCTCTCTCTCTCCCTCTCCTATCTTTCTCTCTTCCCTTTCTCTCTCTCCTCCCTCTCCATATCTCTCCTCCCCTCTCCATCTCTCCTCCCTCAGTCTCTCTCTATCTCTCTCTTTCTCCTCCCTCTCTCTCTTCCTTTCCTCCCTTTCTCTCTCTCTATCTCTTTATTCTCTCCTCCCTTTCTCTATCTCTCTCTCTTCTCTTCTCTCCTCCCTCTCTCTATCTTTTTTGTTATCTTCCTTCGTCCCACTCTCTCCTTCTTTCCCTTTCTACTTCCCCATCTTCTAAGACAATATTACAAAGCTGTAGAGAAAATAAAGGGCACACATACATTTAAAAAAAAAATCAAATACTCAAAGCATTGGTTTATTCAATCAATTCAAATTAATTGCAATAATGATTAAAATGCTTGAACAATCGATTTTGCATTTTCCCCGAATAAAGTCAACATTTACACGTATAAACGTAATTACATTAAAGGTATTACAAAGTTTTGGGAAATCCTGAAAAATGGGTGGATAGTGATTTTTTACAATTTTGATATATTTGGATGCCCCTGTGTATGTATTAAAAACACCAGAAATTTTAGCCCCTAAAACACTTCTGCTTTCGAGAAAAATTGAATATAAAGATTTACCGGTGCTCCCGGTAAATTGTGATAAATTTCAAATAGCTTCTACGGCCGTATAATGGTAGCTGCGACCATGAAAATCTCAGAGTATGTAGTTGTGGTATATAATTTCCGAACGAGAATAGCTAATCGTTCGATTTTAGTCAATAAACATTGTTTTATATGTGTGTGTGTATTGGGTTTTTACAGACGTGTATCAATCAGATATGATTATTTACGTCTGGGACCGACCTTTTAACGTCACCATCCGAAAGACGTGACTCAGTTTCGAACCTGCGTCCTCGGCTGAATCAGTTTGTAACTTCCACTTTTTAGCTGGATTACAGGCGCACGCCTAGTTGACCTTGAGAGGGAGCTATTCAACATAAAATGTTTATTACTTACAATTTCATAACTTTAGAGTCGATTTTGACCGCGACAACGATCACTGAATATTGTAGGATCGTATATGCTTCCAATATGTTCATTTGAACCAAATTCATGACCCCATACCAAAACTTTGTATTACCTTTAATGTTACTTTACATCAATAAAACCTGCTAGCTCTCACAAATTCATGCACGTACGTCAGATGCACATGATAAAAATATCTACATATCCAAAAATTAATAAAATGACACAATCAAAGAAGTAATGTTTGCTGGCATCTTCACAAATATCGTCACATCTTGTGAAAAAGTATTCAAAGAACAATGCCAAGTTCTTGGCGATTTTTCTTATTCAATTTCAAATTCTTATTTATTCATTTTGCTGACCAATGGTTAAAATTGTCAATAATATATATATATTTTTTAAAGTGCAATTCTTGTATTTATAAGTACTTTATTATTTGTAAGTACATCAATTTTTCAAAGAGTAAGAAGCTTTTACTTTAACAGTGTTTGGTTAACTGTAGTAAGAAATCAAAGAACAACCAAAGCTACATGTAGCTTATTAAGGAAAGTAAACATAATACAGAAAATGACAAGAAGTTTCTTCAGACAGAATAGTATGAATGAATAATGAAAATATCAAACATAATCATTTGTTGAAGGGAGACAAGCAGAACGCTTATTTAAAGGTAAAGACCAGTATTGGAAACGCCCCAATTTCAAAAAATGAAATGGAAGCTCTCACTACCAATCATGTGAAAGAATATGTTTTGACTAATACATGATAAAAAATTTGCCGGGAAACCGCCTACTAATTCATATATTTAGTAAATTTGTTTCTCTCATGGTCTGTGAGAGATATAGGGTAGTCCCATATACATCTTTCTGTGTATAGTGCTTGTAACTTTATGAAGAATGGGCCAAATTTCTTATCATGTTGATGATTCCAGAACCTTGCAGTACATCTATGATCAACCTTTTCTGATCGATTTCACAACGTTTCTTTCACAATGCAATCGCATGACCATAACTGGTCTTTAGCATTAAATGAAGGGAACTCACGCACACACACACAGAGAACAAGAAAGGGGAGAAAATAGAACAGAGAATGGATTTGGTGTCACACATCACATTAACAATGTTATGGAAAGTCTCATTTTAATATGTAACTGAAATGTTTGCCTTGTATGCATAATTATGTTGAAGATAAAACATGATACATCGTAAGCCATGGTAAAAGATAATGGCCATATAAAAAGACAAAATGATTACATTATTGTATCAGGGGTATACGGTAAGAGGTACCTAGAATTTCACTCATGACAGTATCATCCTAACCATTTTTTTCTCAGTGTGAACAGGGTGATGATGGGCTGACACCTTGGTGTGAACAGATCCAGTCCATTGCAAACTGATGATAAATCTCCCTCCAGCCAGGTAATTTTTTTTTAAAGTGGTACATTGTATAGGTAATGGTAAAAGATAATGGCCAAATAAAAGGACCAGATTAAAATTATTATTGATATTAATATTATTATTATCATCATTTCATTATTATATCAGGGGTGCGGTAAGAGGTACCAAGAATTTCACTCATGACAGTAACATCCTAACTATTTTTTTCTCAGTGTGAACAGGGTGATGATGGGCTGACACCTTGGTGTGAACAGATCCAGTCCATTGCAAACTGACGATAAATCTCCCTCCAGCCAGGTAATTTTTTTTAAAAGTGGTACATTGTATAGGCCATGGTAAAAGATAATAGCCACAAAAAAAAGACCATATAAAAATAATTATTGATCCTAACCATTTTTTCTCAGTGTGAACAGGTCCATACAGTACAAGTCCATAGCAAACGGGTGATGCATATCTCTCATGCCAGCAAATAAAATAAATATCGCCCGAGTGTGGATAAGTGCTTTAAACTTCCGGTTCAAGTGTTCTACAAACTCGTTAAAAGGTCCTTCGCAACAATCAGTGTACAGTACGTCTATCTCTAATACACAATTAACAACTAAATTCTCATACCCTTACCAAGGCCTACCGTATGTGAAACATTGATTTGTCCTGATTTACATTTCGTGAGAATGTGACATATTAAGGCTTACATCTAAAAGTATTCAACAAAGGCCCTTATTCGACCAGTCCACCTTTTAATTCGTGAGTTATGAAAAACACAAAAACATTTAAAAGGTGTTTGAATAGTTTTGTCGTTAACTGTACATGCAAACGCTCTGCATACATCCTACAAAAATACATTGTACATGTAAATATTCATTCATGTACTGTACATAATTATAATGCATCCACGTACCTTATGTATAATGCAGCCATGTAAAATATTAAGGCACATGCACATCAATAAAGGGTTAAAGGTAAAGACCAGTATTGGAAACGCCCCAATTTAAAAAAATGAAATGGAAGCTCTCATTACCAATCATGTGAAAGAATATGTTTTGGTCATGATGATAAAAAATTTGCCGGGAAACCGCCTACTAATTCATATATTTGGTAAATTTGTTTCTCTCATGGTCTGTGAGAGATATATGGTAGTCCCATCTACATCTTTCTGTGTATAGTGCTTGTAACATTACGAAGAATGGGCCAAATTTCTTATTATTTTGATGATTCCAGAACCTTGCAGATGCTAGATGCTAGATGATCAACCTTTTCTGATCGATTCCACAACGTTTCTTTCACAATGCAATCGCATGACCATAACTGGTCTTTACCTTTAAAAAAAAAAGTTTAGCCATACCGGTAATAGAGAACTTGAGTCGGTGCCATTTTTATACTCTTGCCTTCCCCACAATGGAAAAAGCAGTAAACTACGATACTATGTATGAATCAATACACTGCACAATTTTGAGGCACTGCTTGGACTGTATGTATTTAAACCTATGGGATAGATGCGACTTGATAGTATTAGAACTTTCAGGGCTATGGCCCCCAGGAAATTAAACCAATTACAGTCTGCATCAAGCCCATAGATTTAACCCGAGTATCTAAATGCAGTGTATATTACGTGTATTTTTCCTCAAAATGTGGAAATGAAAATTGATATCTGCCTGTTACTTTCAAGATATATATACAGTGCGTCCCAGAAAAAAACGAAACCGAGAAGTATTGATGTTCTATCATAATTTAATCACAACTATAATTAATAAATCATACATATTTGGAAAGCTTAGTGTCTCCTCTTTCATGTGATGCTACTCTGATGATGCATATTTCACGCATGAGTGATTAAAAAGGAAAAGGAAAACAAAAAGGCATTTGGCGGGCTGTATCTGAATTTCGAAAAAAAATCACATTTCTAAGAAGTTGAGTTTCTGCCTTTCATATACCTCAATCAGGAAAAATGAGCGAGGAATGACAAAGTTCTGTTTGTTTAAAGTAGTGCTTGCATATCCATAACTTTATTAAACGACTCTCGTTTTTACTGGCTGCCTGCCATATCAATAAACGAAATTAACAAAAGACTTAACTCCGTTTCGTTGACAATCAGCCGTAGACGAGAGTCTTCATGCATGGCTGATTGTCAACAAAATGGAGTTAAGTCTTTTGTCAAATCTGCTTTTTGCTACGGCAGGCAGCCAGTGAAAAGGAATTCGTTTGTTAAAATTATGAAAATGTAAGGGCTACTTTAAACTAATAGAACTTTGTTATTCTTTGCTCATTTTTCCTGATTGAGGTGTCATATGAAAGGGCAGAAACTCAACTTTCTACAAATGTGAATTTTTCTTCGAAATTCAGATACCGCCCGCCAAATGTCTTTTTGGTTTCCTACCTTCAAATTGTTTTTAATCACTCATGCGTGAAATATGCATCATCTGAATAGCATCAACTGAAAGAAGAGACTCTAAGCTTTCCAAATATGTATCATTCATTAATTATGGTTGTGATTATAATTATGATAAAACATCGATACTTCTCGGTTTCGTTTTTTCTGGGACGCACTGTATATATATATATATATATATATATATATATATATATGTACATTTACATCTATTTGTGTCCTTATACATTTGTGACTTTAAAACCTATTTCTACTTAAATATTGAAACACGGTTTTGTTACACTTCATAATTTTAATATCTAAAACAAAATATAATTCAAGGAATTTGTCATTACAATAGTACATGCTCCTGTATATTATTTTATTTCATTTGTGGTGATATTGTGTAATCATGAATTACATTTACAAATAAAATGTTGTCATCCTTCCCGATATTCAATAATGAAAAAGTAGTGGACTTTTCTATTTTCTATAACTGGAGTTGAGGGAGGGAGGGAGGGAGGGAGGGAGGTATGATGCCACAGCAAGGGAGTGTAAACTTATTGCATTTTAAATTTGCGGATTATCAAGCATTTTCTGGATTAAAGTGAGATACTTTGTTTCCCCTGAAGTATTTGTCAGAACTTTAAAATGAATACTGTACAGTGTAAGTATTCCATTTCTATTCAAAAGACCTCTGTGATTAAAGAGAAATGCGTTCAAGTGAACAATATCTTCAGCAATGCAAACATGTATCTGCATGGCAGGGATTTTTTTTCTCACCATGTGGCACAATATCACTATTGCTAAGAGGCTGCACGACTTTATTTGGATAACTGGATTCAGTGATGGATAGGACACTTCACAAGACTGTATATCCGTGAGAGGGCCCCACCCCCCTCTCATCTCTACACATACAGTAAACCTACAAATACTTTAAAATGTTGAAGTCTGTTGGTGAGCAGTCTATTATGTGGATCAGACAGTAATGCAACAATTATATGGTATCCAACTTTGACTAATACTTAGATTTTGAAAAAGATGTAGTTTTTCATTCAAAGGAGTTTTTTTTATTCATTGATTGTATGTTGGCCAATATGTGGATCAGACAGTATTGCAAACAAATATAATTATGGTATCCAAACTTTGAATATTACTTTAGATTTTGAAAAAGATGTAGTTTTTCATTCAAAAGAGTTTTTTTATTCATTGTATGTTGGACAATATGTGGATCAGACAGTATTGCAAACAAATATATGGTATCCAAACTTTGAATATTGACTTAGATTTTGAAAAGATGTAGTTTTTCATTCAAAAGAGTTTTTTATTCAGTGTATGTTTACATTGCATGAAAGCAATAGCATGCTGCACAAAGCAGGAGAGTTGGCAAGGACATGTACATACACATGTATGTTTCACATAACATCCTTTTTTTATCCTTAAAAAATGCATTCAATACATGGATACATACAATGCACATAGCCTCTTGGTCCCCACACATCATACCGAGTCAGCTACGTGTCAAATATGCAGACTGCTTACATTGATAATTATACACAACAGGACATGGGCAAGTCTTGAGATACACGTATGCATACATTTTTCTCTTAAAGGTAATACAAAGTTTTGGTAATATATAAACAAGGTGGGATTTTGAAATTTAAAATTTGCCTTACCATTGTGAAACCCGTTAGAATTGGGCTTTAAAATGCTAAGGATTTCGAGAAATTAAAATATCAAATTTATCAGTGCTCCCGATAAATTTCAAATAGTGCCTACGGCGGTACAATGATAGCTTCGACCATGAAAATCTTGGAATATGCAGCTCTGATATATAACTTCCAAACGGGAATAGAAAATTGGTTGATTTTAGTCAAGAAACATTGATTTGAAGCTTTAGTGACATCACTCTTGAGAGAGAGAGCTTTACAACATAAAGCATTTATTATTTTCAATATTTTCAATTTTCAATTGTGACAGCGATCATTGAATATTGTAAAATGGCATATGCTTCCAATATGTTCATTTGAACTAAATTCATGACCCCATACCACAACTTTGCATTACCCGTCCATATTTTAAATGTGTAAAGCAACATATGGAACCCCTCACATACCGTAGTAAACAATTTTTAGTCTGTATGTGATTGGTGACCTCTAATTAATTACTCAGCCCAAAAGATCATCTTCCAAACTGAATATGGACATCCTGGTAAAGAATCAATATTCTAAATAAACAACCAACAAGATGTTACATCGATATAACCAGGCAACACCTGTGACCTGTCAATAGGGAGGAATCTATCCCGTGGGAAAATATATGTTTATTCTTCCCACAATTGTCCTGGGCTCTGATTCATAGAAGTTGTTATCACCAACTGCATTTATTTGCAACCAATTATCATTGATTTTTATCACATTCCGGTGTCTCTCCCGGTAGTTGCTAAACGCAACGAAAAAAACGAACTAAAAAATCCATTTTTGGAGTGAGTTTTTTGTCTGGAGTCTTTTTTTTTATTGTTAACGCCCACCGGAGTTTCACCAACTTTTGCAGTGTACATACAAACTTCAGTAAGATAATGATTTTTGCTTACGTGACTATCCTTGCTTCTGTGCTTACAGTAAGACATGCAAAAAATTGGTATGAGAAAACTTTAACGGCTTTTAATGGGTTTTTACAGTAGTGTAAATTTTAGTCAAAAAAATCAATGGTTTTTTTTCAAAATGGCGTTTGGGGTGTGTAAATGGACCTAATATCAAGTGACAATGACCGTTATTAGCTACTAAAATAGTGGCATTTGATTGGCTGAGAGCAAAGTTGTAATAGAAATGTAGCATTTGTTATAGATAACAAGTTTTACGAAGCAGGGCCCAGTTTACAAATAAAGTATTCAATATTCATATATATTCCTCTACTACAATCACAACAGATTTGGAGGTGTGTTCAATATAGCAACACATTAATGTAAATGCATTTCGTCTTTCAAAATACAATAGCTATTCAAAAAAATCAATACTTTGTGACTGGGACATATATGGGTAACAGCTTTTATGAATTTGCATAAAAAGACCCATTTACATTGCAAAGAAAAATCAAACTCAACGGTTTTTACTTGCAGTGTGAATGCCCTCATAGACTGTGATTTTGTTAGGAGTAACAGCTGGAAGGGAATCTTCACACCGATTGTGTATAGAAAAGTGTGTGGAAAATACCTCTGAATATTGCATCTTTTCATGTCTTTTACATACAACAGTGAGTGATACATATATACACACATGTGATCTTTTTCTTCTTGTGACCTCTTATTACAACCAAGAGTATGTATTCGCATCTCTTCAATTGGAACTTGTGCGTTTAATTTGATTGAAAATTTGGAACTTATGTTCCCTGCTTTCATTACAAGAAAGCAGTACACTTACAAATAAAATTTCACATTTTTAAAAGGTATACCATCAGAGATTCTGGACAAGAGTAACCAAAACACAAAAATCAATCAAATGACTCAAATATACATGTATGTGAGCCAATGGAATGCACACACACTGATCCAATTCTGTACTCCCAGTAAGAAAAACTAATATCTGTACATTACATGTACTGTACGTTGTCGACAGAAATACTGAAGTATGATACAAATGACAAACATTGCTCCAATTCTCTACTCC